TTTCATCATGCCATTATCCCGTCATGTCATCAACACTGCTTGGCTCCTGACTGCCCCTGGCATTCCACAGGCCAGAGGCCCCCCACGCTGTCCCAAATTCCCCACCTGATACATGATAAATTGAACTGAATTTTACTGTGCCTCAATTAATGTAATTTTAGCTAAATGATATCTACTAAATGTACTAAAATGTTGATGTATATTACACTGATGGTGAGGGAAAAAACTAAATGCAAGATCAAGCAAAGTTAGGGAAAGAACTGCTGGTATTTTTACATTACAATCTTGCATCCTATTGCCTAAAATAAGTTTGCTATGTAGGCCTACTGTTGATATTCTCAGACTTGCATGTGTCTATGTGTTTGCCAGCCATGCTGGGAACTGGATGCTAATTTAAGAGCGTTTTTTCTAGGCTACAGGTCAGGTATTGCTCCTGTGTTTGGGGTTGTTAGGCAACTAACTCTGTAACTCATTTTCTGTCTTGTGCCGATGATGTGGTCTTCAGCTGGAAAACTCCAGGATGACTGCTCGAGTCACATCAGCAGATAACACAGTCAAGTCACATCATGCTCATATCAGGTCATTTCACATCATTTGTGGCAATGAAAAGCCCCTTCACATTTTCTGGTATTCAGTGTATGAGTGCAGTGGGATGGGAAATTGTCTGGGTCAACAGTTTTAACGTGACTTTAAAACTCATACCTGAAACCTTTAGAAGTAATTATTGGTGTCACACTTTCTTTCAAGTCCAAAACAGAGCATTTTTTAATATAAAAAACTCCACAAGACTCTGGAGTGAAAATATGATGCGTGTTAAAGTTTTTCTGCCCAAGTCTATTCAGGGATCTCATCTGGCTCACATGGGTCTTTGGCGCTGAAACAAAGCAAGTCATAGTCTTGGAAGGAGGCCTGACAAGTGTTGGATTTCCAGACCCACAAAGGACAGAACGACTACCTGATGATAAGAAACATACATACATACATACATACATATCAGTTTTACATTATCAGAATTGTTTTGGGACAGTGGTAGAATGTTAGTAAGGTTTACTTTAAACCTATAACCTATAACAGGGCCCTGATTCTACAGTCATGGTAGAAGTTACTGCTTCATCTGACAAATAATCTAACAGTCTAAAACAAACATGCAGTTCATCAGACCTGGTTATAATAGTAATTGAAATAGGTTTTGAGTCCAATCTAGTACACCCCCACAAGTTTAAAGTAAAATATTTGTGAAGAGACAGTGTGTTCAACAATCTCTTGTCCCTCTGGCCTCCATGTAAATGGTTTTATGTTGTACACAACAGGGCAAAGAAAGGAAGTCACTTTGCAAATTTAATAATTGATATCAGAGTTTGATTGTGAGCGGTTATATTTATCGGGCATGTCAGTAAAAGCAGCATCATTCTTATTTTTATTGACATGTCAGGCTCTGTCTTCAGTGCCATGATCCTTTGGGAAAGTGGTTGGATAACAGAGTTTAAATGGAAAAGCTAAAAATAGAGCTGACACCACTAGCAGCTGACACACACTGCGCCGTGAAATGCAAATAAATGCATGACCACACACAAACTTCCCCATCCCCGGTACCCCTCCCCGAACTCTACACCCGCGCATACACATAGACACGCATATACATACACTCTGGTTGTCTCTTTAAATTCATTTATACATCATCAGAATGAATACAAATGATTTGCTCAAGTTACTGAAAAACATTTTCTACCCACACAAATGGTTTCTCGTCACAATTTGCACCACCTAGAGCGTACTTGACATAATTTCATGCTCACCCGAGTCTTTTCATTAACTTTATATGCAGTTGTGTTGCCTTGTCTGAATATTCTTTTTGCATTCAGCCTGAACACACCTGACAAAAGCGTGGCTGTGGCTGTGTGTAGGGAGAAACAACAAATATATCTAATCGACATGTGCACAATGTAGATGAGAAATGTGAAAAGTCTTTGGCTATTAGACCCCATTGTGAAGTCATTGTATTTTTGAAGGCATTGGTGAAGCTGTGATTAGTATAGGAAACCCCCTGATGAACACTGGATATGATGAACTGGAGGTGAATGGGTGGTGGAGGAGGGTTGCAATGATTTCACACTGAAATGACAGCTGAAAGCAGCAGAAAGGAGAAAAGGTTTAAAGTTTAAAGTTTAAAGCAGCAATATGCTTGGCTGGAGGAGACTGTGGCTAAGTCTGATTGGTTTAACTGAAAGAGTAAATACTCATACCTGATTAAGAAAGAGAGTGAGAGAATTGTGAATGGATGAGACACAACAAGACAGTCTCACTGCTTGAACTTACGCTGAGCTTTGTGTGTGTGTGTGTGTGTGTGTGTGTGTGTGTGTGTGTGTGTGTGTGTGTGTGTGTGTGTGTGTGCGTGTGCATGACAGAGAAAGAAGCTTCTCTCAAACTATAAGTGACTTGCTGTGTTAGCTGAACATTTTGTGAAGTAATATGTGTAGTTTCATTATTTAATGCTTCAGTGGTAGCAAACAGTCACTTCTGGGTTGCCCAGTAAAATAGTAGAGATCTTAACGCTTAGTAGTAGTGACAACAGGTTCTGCTGAAAGTATCATAGAACTGTTGTTTGGGTAGTGTGAGACTGGAGAAGACGTAAGAAGCGTGAAAATGCTTAATTAAAGGCTCTGCACAGCAATGTACCTACCAAACAGGTGTTTTCACTTATGTTGCCTAATGAGACCTCTTCTCAGGACTATGTAGTTGGTTGCACCTATTAGGGCAGAACATCTTACCCTATTATTATTCTTAGCGGTCCATATCCATAGAGTTTTGTGACATGATTCAGTACCAAGTGTAGTTCTACCAAAGTTTAATCTGACGGTGCAACCAACAGGGGTTAATTGGAAACACCTGAGTGTTTGTGCAAGGCCTTTAAATGTAAAAGTCAAGCAAATGTTATATCTCTATTCAGCTCTCAGAGGAATGTTATGCATCTTACAGAACTAGAGTCATCATCATCGCCATCATCATCGCCATCATCATTATCATTATCATTACCACCAACACATGTATACACAGTAGGTCCTATGACACCGGGCAGGGCAGAGATTCATGACAAGTCTGGGCTGGATTTGAGCTGCAGCCCTGAGTGTCTGACATGAGTAATGTCTGTCTGTTATAGACCAACAGCATTCATTCACATACTCATATACACACACACACAACTTGTAGTACTACTGCTAAGGACCTTGTACTTAAATACATTCATTCCTGGAGGAATACCTAAACCAAACCCATTGCCTAAGCTTAAATATATATAATATTTTAATACTTGGAATACATGGAATCAAATATGTAATGTGAAAGGGTTGCATGTAGAAACAAACCCTCAGAAAATTATCACCCCACTGTGAAATTTCCAATTTTCACCAATGTCCAATATATACTGAATGCGAGCTGCCCAGCACTAAACGGCAAACAGATGAAATTTAGCCAAATAAGTAAGTAAGCGACCAAAAATAGACTAGAGTGGACAACATATTAGCTGAAAAATATGCTAATGTTACTGTGTGTCTGCTGTATTTGTAATCAGGCAGTTGCAGTTGATAACATCCCATTAATTCAGCTTTAACCTTGTAATCTAACCTTAAACAAAAAAATTATGGCTAACTTTTTTGGGGACTTTTGCCTTCAGATGGGAGACACATTTGAATAAACACACAAACTGCTATATCCTGCAAATTCCTGTACACTGTTACAAAATATTAAAGTGATGCATTTAACTACATAGTGAAGGTCTGATCTACATATATTTGTACACCCACTCTTGGTGCGTGTGAATCCAGTGGAGAGTGAGTGACCTTCCCAACAGCAAACATCAGTCAAACTATGCTGCTCCTCATGTAACCAAGGGTAAATACCTAACTCTGTTGTAACTCTATAGCTACTGGCAGGGTAGTAACTCAAACATTATATAAGATGAATCATATTGTGCACCATCGGGACACTGCTGAAAAGTGTAAGTTGATGATTTGATGATATGATTGAAAGGATTGAATTAATAGGGTTTTCAGAACTAGATGTCATCATTAATGTGTCGTGCGTCCATAAATGTGAGGCGTGTGCTTTTATGATCCAGTTTCTTTCGCACTATTAAGGTCGCATACACTGAATTACAGTAAGAATGCCCTGGCTATTTCAAACATGTGAAGCTATTTAAAATGCACTTAGAATGGGATGTGATCTATTTTGGTCTATTGAGATATAGGCTGTAGACTGAAACGCAGTGGATACTTTCCCCTCTGGATGTGGGATACAGATAGTGTTTATGAAACAAGCCTATACTTTCTCTGTAACAACTGCAGAGACTGAGTTACTGACTCACTTACTTACTCACTCACTCAATCATGGATCACACACACACACACACACACACACACACACACACACACACACAAAAAGGCCGCCGCCCTTTCCAGCACTTGAAACCAGACCCTTCAACAGCTGAATCGAGAGCTGGCAACAGGCACGAGACGGGGAGAGGAATGAGAAAAGAAAAAGGGCTGGAGAAATGATGAGTGGCTGGCGAGGGGGAGGAGACATAGGAAAGGCCTGGAAGATTCTGGATGACATATCAAGATACTGCAATGAACTGACTAACACATAAAAAAATAAAATGTTTTCAAAAAGCCCCTTTAATGCTCATTTATAGTTTTAAGATAATTAGACTAAAATAATCTACGGTGGGAATGGAAGAGCTTTCTCTGCTAATATTTGATTGGCATCTTAACCCATGGAGTAATCTTCCAAAATGGCTCCATCTTTCAGGTTGGGGTCTAAATTTCAAATGGTGACAAAGTGATCAATTAAAGGAAAATGGGGTTGAGCCACAGTGGAAGGGTGGAGTAGGCGGTAATGGGAATACAGACGAGGTGAATGGACACAGAGGGAGGACAGAGAGGAGGGGTTGGGGTAAGAGTGGGTGTGGTAAATCTACAAATAGCTGCGCTCGGTGTCTGACATTTCTTCACTTCGTTTCTCTCCCAGTTGCCCAGTGGGACAGTTGGGTCTCAGCTCCTCAAGCGACTCCATCAAAACCACAAGACCACCCGAACAGTCAACCAGCCATGAGCAAGTCCTACTCCTCCTCAGCCCAGTCGGCCTCCTCATACCGTCGCACCTTCGGCTCTGGCGTCGGGTCATCCCCAATGTCCTCCCTCTTCTCCTCTGTAGGAGGTGGCCGCAGCTCTGCTTCAAGCCACATGTCCTCCCGAGTCTATGAGGTCAAGGGTGCCGGCATTCCCTCCTATTCCGCCTACCGGGTGTCCTCTGGTGCTGGGGGAGCAGGGTATGGTTCCTCTACAGCCATGCGCGCCTATTCTGGAGAGAAACTGGACTTCAACCTGGCCGATGCCATGAACCAGGACTTTCTCAACACAAGGACCAATGAGAAGGCCGAGCTCCAGCACCTCAACGACCGATTTGCCAGCTACATCGAGAAGGTGCGCTTCCTGGAGCAGCAGAATGCAGCACTGACAGCGGAGATTGAGAAGCTGAGGGGCCGCGAGGGCCCTGGGCGCGTTGCTGAGATGTATGAGGAGGAAATGAGGGAGCTGAGGAGACAAATAGAGGCCATCTCCAACCAGCGTGCCCGAGTGGAGGTGGAGAGAGACAACCTGGGTGATGACCTGCAGAAACTTAAGCTCAGGTAGGTTAGAGGATGACAGAATGAGTGGTTGGATTGAACTGTACCAGTGTACGCAGCATTAAAGAGTGAGGGAGAATGATGAAAAAGAGTGGAATGAAGAACCCATGATGTGGGGGATTGTTTTAAAAGCAAGCTCCCAGAAAACAGAAGGACTTTGGCTAAGAGACCGATTTCAACAAAAGAAGGATAAACACCAACTAAATAGTCTAGACAGGGCACGGCACTCATATTATTGAGTAGTACAACATCAGGGGTTTCAAAACCTTTTGGCTTGTGACCCTTTAAAGCTAAGAAATTTGTAGTCGCAAGCCCTGCCACAGATTTAATGTCTATGAGAGACCAAAGAGTGATATCATAAACTAGAATATTAGAGAAAAACTTAAGCCAAACTAAAAATCTGTGCAGCAGAAATACTGTGCTGCTTTTCTCTCATCAATCATCTAATGACCCTTCAGAGCTTTTCTTGAGACCCCCTGGGGGGTCTCAACCCACAGGTTGGCAACAGCTGGTCTGCATCAGAAAAACAGAGTGACATGTTGCTAGATGTTACAGGAAGAGAAAACGGGGAGAAACCGAAAGAAAGAGGAAAGTGGTAGTTCACCTAGTTAATACAATGAAAGAAGTAAAAGCCAAGCATGTGGCATCAAAGACAACCAGAGGTTGATTTCCAGAGGGTGTCTCTTCTGTTTTTGAGAAAGAAAGAGAAACAACAAAGAAACAAAGGAGAGTTTTGAGAACAGCTACACTTCAATGAGTGTTACAGTCTACCAGCTTTTTACAAAAGGTGTTTTATAATTTATTCACAAGGGACATAACAGAGAAAAATGAAAAGAGAGACGCTCATAGGAATTAAATTGAGGCAGACAGACAGACAGACAGACAGACAGACAGACAGACAGACAGACAGATAAAGTTTCAGACAGACAGAGAGAGAAGTGGACTGATGGAAATGAACAGATGAGCACACATGGTCTGTTATGATTGTGAATCTATACTTGCTTGTGTGTGTGCGTGTGACATAGACACACGCACACACACAGAGAGAGAGAGAGCGAACGAGTGAGAGAGAGAGAGAGAGAGAGAGAGAGAGAAAGAGAGAGAGAGAGAGAGATGATGTGAGTGTCTATTTGTAGCTAGTAGGTCAGTTCTTTGAATTTAGACTTTCTTTCACAGCAACAGCAAGCAACATCCCTTAACATGACTTTAAGTGTATATAGAAAAACACTCACACACACAGCACACACACAAACGTGCACACTTCACTTTCTTTCCATCAGCCCTTTTTAAATTGTTGCCTGTAGCCTTGAGTGAGGCTTGCCAAAGCACCTGCTGCTCCTACTGAGATCAAAATACGCACAGAGACCACCTGCCTGCCAACAGTTACAAGGCATACACGCACATGCACGCACGCGCACACACACACACACACACACACACACACACACACACACACACACACACACACACACACACACACTTACATATACAGTACAGTACATATACACACCTATAGAATGTCTGCAGAATTTACAGATAGCATCATCAATCAAAATATATAGTGTAAAAACTAATTTGTGTATTGCCGCAAGGCATTTTGCTGTACCTGCAGAAAGTTAAAAGTAAAATTTGCCAAACATACAACAGCAATGAAAACAAGGTACTGCAAGGACTAGATGGCTCTTAATGGGAATAGCACAGATTAAAAGGTGTTCTGCAAAGGCCCTGTGGAGCGAATTAACTATGTTCAATATCGTAAAGACTGTCCATAAGTGTTAAGTGCCATCCAACTGTGCCACATAGTTTGAGCAAAGAAATTAAATTTACCACACAGGATGTGAAATTGATGAACATGTCGCCTGATTCACACCTGTTAAAAGACATCCGCATTTCATGGAACATTTCCCTCATTCAAATCTGCAAATCTGTTAAATCCACATGTAACAAACTTACAACAAAATTACTAACCAGTGACTTTAAACCCCTTTGCATTTATGCATTACATATATTTTTTTTTTACATTTTCCAGTTGTTCAGAGTGCATAGTGAAATGCTAATTCAGGAAACATCACAAGCCAAGGGCAGACCTCTATTCCTTTCTCACTTTTACCCTTCTGACTCTGACAGTGTGACAGCAGCTGCACCACAGCTTTAGGACTCAAAGAGCAATTGCACAAGTGTGTGTGTGCGTGTTTGGTTGAATATGGATACTAATAAAAGTTAGACTATGATGTGTCATTGTCTAGTCAGTTCTATTCTTGTAAATACACTGCCAGCCAAAAAGAACAGGGAGCAGAAGGCTGGAGGAATGAGAGTTAGTAACTAGTTTATCCGTGGAGTAATTGGTCCCAGGAGAAGAGGCCATGCTCTCAAACGCAGTTGTTGTGTTTGTATTCACTTATGTTTCAACTTTCCTCTTTTTTTTTGCTTTTTTCCTCTGTCTACTGCTCTTTCCAGACTGCAGGAGGAGATTCACCAGAAGGAAGAGGCTGAGAACAACCTTTCTGCTTTTAGAGCTGTATGTCTTCTATTTCTATTAAATCACACCTTTATATCTCAATCCTCAGTCGTTTTATCCTCAAAGTAAAACACTCCATCTATGCACAATTTCCCCTCTCATCTCTCTCATCAACCACTTTCTTCCTGTCCACTTTGTTGCTCTCCTTACGCATTTTTACCTTTTCTGTGTCTGTATTCAGGATGTTGACAATGCCACTCTGGCCAGGCTGGACCTGGAGAGACGCATTGAGAGCCTGCAAGAGGAGATTGCCTTCCTCAAGAAGATCCATGAAGAGGTCTGTTGATTTGTCTATAAATTATTCCAATGTATGTCAGTAGAGTAGTGTGTACTATATCATATAACAGCTTAATGTAAAGTTAGACGGTAATATTAGATATATCTGAGCCTCTGTAGGCATGCAACTCTTCAACATATCAAATATTTCACACTTAAACACACCCATGGAAGTTTAAACATATTCATTATGCACATTTACACAGTCTCTCACACACACCGTCAGTCTACCTGTACAAAACTATCTGGCCATTTAATTCTAATGCAAAGCAAATGCATAGAGTGCAGTAGACACATTTCTGCACATTCACACGCAGACATCAAAGGACACACTGAGCTACATACTCAGACACATGTCGGCACAGTTGAGGTCCGTTCTTGTCATTTTGTCTTCTCTTCCTCAACGTTGACCTCTCAGAAATGCTGAACTGCTGATTGGTCGAAGAGGGCATGTCAGCTGTTGTGCGTGTCTGTGTGTGTCTGTGTGCATGTGAACAGATGCTAAGCTATTTATATCTTTTGGTTGGACCAGAAAACAGCTGAGTTGGATCAAAGCTTACTAATTTGAAACTTCTAGTTTCACAGAGTTAAACCAGTCCTGTGCTGTTCTTGGTTTCTGATAATGTTTTAGTAATGTTGCATCAATGCACCACAGAGCAAATTACTTCTACATAATTATGTAAATGTCCTTGATGTAGGATTCCCTACCCTCATTTTCATTGATTTATGCTTGAAACCTTCCCTTTCATGAGCCCCAGTGTCAGGACACACACGCTTTAGATAAGAACTTTAGTCTCTGTTTCTTTATCTGTTTCTTGCAAAATACTTTTCTTTCTTCTTTATAACCTTCTTAAAAATCATTTTCATAGTTGTGTTGTTGATTTTTGTTTAAAATGTTTTCTTGTCACCTTGCAGGAGATCCGTGAGCTGCAGAGTCAGATGCAAGACACTCAGGTGCAGATCCAGATGGACATGTCTAAACCTGACCTGACTGCTGCTCTGAGGGACATCCGCATGCAGTATGAGGGCATCGCCGCCAAGAACATTTCAGAGGCTGAAGAATGGTACAAGTCTAAGGTAACATGGGAGCACACACACACACACACACCACACACACACACACACACACACACACACACACACACACACACACACACACACACACACACACACACACACACACACACACACACACACACACATACACAATCTATCCCTTTCTGCTATTGCACTGCTAAAACTTCATCCCCCTCTCTCCTCAGGTGACTGATCTGAACCAGGCTGTGAATAAGAACAATGATGCACTGCGTCAGGCCAAGCAGGAGAGCATGGAGTACAGGCACCAGATCCAGTCCTACACCTGTGAGATCGACTCACTCAAGGGCACTGTAAGTATTGACTGCTGCATCTCTTAGTTTATTCCATGTTTTTAGTATCTTTCACTGTGGCGATTCTTTCTTTCTTTCTTAATGTGCTTATTATCAGTCTTAACACACAGTTCTTATCTCCATCTTTCAACTCCTTTTCACTGCTAAATTCATGCCTCTGTTCCCGTGTAGAACGAGTCTCTGCTGCGCCAGATGAGAGACATGGAGGATCGCATGGGCCGTGAGGCTTCTGGTTACCAGGAAACTATCGCACGGCTGGAGGCAGACATTGCTAAGATGAAGGTAATAATATTTAGTCCATGAACCTGCAATAGGAACACTGTCTGTGCATTTGCAACAGTTGTTCCTGTTGATTTTGTTTATGTTTGAGCAGACAATTAAACCTTTTATGCATCGATTTAAAGGACGATATGGCTCGTCACCTGAGAGAGTACCAGGACCTCCTCAATGTGAAGATGGCCCTTGATATTGAAATCGCCACCTATCGCAAGCTCCTGGAGGGAGAGGAGAGCAGGTATGTGTGTGAACCTTCATATGTGGGTAGAGTTAGACAGCTCAAGATTCAAGTTATCTTTCTCAAGGCTATCATAACTTCTTCCACTGAAGTGTGGAATTTATATTATTGTGTAACTGGCTTGTAATGCTGAATTTTGTGTTTCTCCTTTTTGCAGGATCACTACCAATGTGCCTGTCCAGTCTGCATATTCCTCCATTGGCTTCAGAGGTGGGAGAAACAGTACCCATTCTTCCCTTCACACATAAATACACACAAAATCCATTTTACATTCCAGATGAGTCAACAGGGGGGATAAAAAAAACTAAATATAGCTTGTGACTGTATATGGTGGGTGCTATTTTGAGGGCATTACATGTCGTGTACCTGCAGTTACACATTCTGACCACTGTGTGGCGGTAAATGACATATCAAAAAGCTTAATTTGCTCTTTCATTCACAGGGGTAATCATCAACAAGCCACACATCAATAATCACACAACCTAACCCATTCACTTGATGTATTAACAGTCCAAAAGTGCAATTAATCTCTGCCGATGCCTCCCTTTGCTCCACTTTGTGGCTGCTTAAATGAAAACAATGAGGGGGTAATTAAGGATGCTGTACTAGGTACAACCATGATTCATTATTGCCATTGATTTTGAATATGAGTTTTAATATTACACTTTTAAGTGGCAGTCATACTACCTCCACAGGCTGCCCCATTGATGTGCAAGGCATGTCTTCATGTTGTTCAAAGTCAGTTATCCCTTTAAGAGCAATAAACTAATGTCATCAGAACGAATGAGCTTGTTTTATGATTTTATGAAATAGTGTAAGAGCTGTGTGAATGTATTCTTACAGAGACCAGTCCTGAGTCCCAGCATCAGCGCTCCTCAGAGGTTCACTCCAAGAAGACTGTTCTCATCAAGACCATCGAGACCCGCGATGGCGAGGTTTGAGCACACACATTACATACAGTATATATATATATATATATATATATATATATATATATATATATATAGTATACATGACACACAGTACACTTATCAGCCCCAAAAACACACAACTGTTGCACCTATTTATTTCAGTTATTTAGAAACCTACAGAGAGTATATTGAAATATATTGATATTAAGATTGAACTATAACCCTCCACACTGGCTTCCATGAACAAGAAGCTTTACTGTCAGTGGCTACTGCACAGCACCTCGCTCTGAACAACAACTGCTTCACTGCCGATAGAAAATCCTCTCACCTGTCATCTGCAACACACTGCAGCCCTTAGCATACATAATGAATGTTTTTTCTTCCAATTTAAAGCAATTTAAAATATCTCTTCTCTCCCTCAGGTTGTCAGCGAGTCCACACAGCACCAGCAAGACATCATGTAAACCAGAAGAAGCAACCTCAGAAACACTATATATAATAAGTTAACAAAAAAATAGTAAAAAATCTACATTTTCCTACCACTACTATGACGATTTATAAGCTGAGCCTATTTTTAGAAACAGTTTTTTAGCAGATTTTAAGGGAAACACAAAATCATATGAATGAAAGCAGCTAGTATACATCTTTAGACAATGTACTTTATACGTCATAAACAGGATAAATGCAATATGGAGGCACAAAGCACTGCCTTTAGTCTGGTTTTAAATAAAGGTCATTCCAGGAATTATGTTTTATTTGTGTTACTTTCCTTCTTTCGAAAACACCAGGACTTGTCATATCTCTCAAATCTTATCAGAAATAATTCAATGGAAAGAGTTTTAAATGAACAACAAGACTTTGTGTCACTGTATTGGCCCAGTATCCGGAGGGGAGTTTGCAAGGTGCAAGATAGATGAATGGGCCTGAAACACCAAGGTCACAAGTAATATTGTAACAGTAATTTTCACTGCACATATTCCAAGTCTTTCTGTGCTTATGTATGTGTAAGTATATGACTTGATTAAGAAGGGACTGTTTGCGTAACTGATTTACGAAAAGTGAGATGTTGGTCTTGTTGGTTTGAGAAATGTCAACACAAAAAAAGGAACTCAGTCATGCCCGGAGTTTGAGCATGTGCTGGGTGTTTGACTGTATGGGTGACCATGTTTTGCTGCTTCATTTTGCCAAGAATCTCAAATAAAGACATTCGTTATCACCACTGAGAGTCAGCCAGTTTCTTAAGGCTTTGTAACAAAAGAAAAATCTAAATTTTTTGTGTCTGTGCATAGCATGTGTAATGTGTAAGACTCTAGTCATTAGCATTCTTCAGATAGCATGCATGCCTTTTCATTGGTTCCTTTATGAACTGCTTCTACCCACTGCATTCATCGTCTGATGTGGGCTGCGTTAGCTTTCCTCAAATGATACTACCAGCCAAGCGTAGCTGTCTTCTGTTCACATTTAATTCGCTTTTATAAAGAAAATAGGAGTTGCAGCCCCCTTTGGAATTATCAGTAACAGGACGGGTCTTGGTGCAGGGAAAAGTGAACAATTGCTTGTTAATGAGCTAGCTTCAGTCATGCTTTGTTTCCGGCAGGGAGCAGATTAACACAGAAACAAGAATTATATAGTCTGCAGTTTGTGTCTGAAGTCACTGGACTGAAAAATGTCAGCAGAGATAAAAAGTGGGGGTGGAGGAGGAAAGAGAAAAGAAAGATACAGTGAAAGCAGGCAATAAATGAGAATGCAAGAAGGACAGCGAGACCGTGAGGGTGGTAGAGGGAGAAAACGAGAAAGAGAGGGTACAAATGTAATGAGAAGGATGTTCAGAGGCAGAGAAAAAGAAACAAGAGGAAGATTCAGCAAGAGATAATTAGGCAGAAGGAAGAAGCACAGAGAGAAAGTAAGTGAGAGAAAGTCATTTCACGGCTTTTCCTAGCAGACCAATGTTGGTAGGAACTTTCTGTCTCCATCATCGTTTCTGTCAACAGCAACTGGTTCCCAGTCATTACAGCTCGATAAAAAAGGGCAGCATGTTCCTGTTTCATTTCCTTCAAAAGAAGTCTGCTTAACTTTGTGACCTTTCATCGATCAGCTGCTGAAAGCACTGAATTTTAATTGTTATTTGTGGCTCCCTTTTTGTGGTGCTTAAATTTTTTTTTCTACTTTTGTAGAAAACACCTATTTTATCCAGATTGGTTTGACACATACAAGTTAATGCAATGCAAATGTAGCCTTGTACCTACTGTCAGACCACATCAAGGCATTTGTTAAATATAAGTTTAAGAGAAACATCATGAAGATGAACTCAAACAGATGCTTTGTTTTTCTGTGTGGTATGATACTTTCTTTATCACTGCTGAGACCTGCAGAGCAGTAAAAAGTATCGCATGAATAAGTGAAAACCATAACATTACCTCGGAACTGGTTTTATATTACTTCATCGTTTATATTCTTATATATAAGGCAGTTTACGTTGTAGTATCTGATTTTACTGTAGTATCAACATGGTTTTAGTATCACTGGCCACTCAAAAAACAACTTAATTTATTCTCTGAACTGTGACTGTCATCTAAAATGTGTGAGTGTCAGTGTGCGTGTGCTTGGTATGTAGTATTTGTACACATAAATGCACCTCTGAATACACAAATGACAGAAACAGTAGAGACAACCGAGACCAATAGATTGTAGACTCACAATGTTTATCATATTTAGGTCCATATAAATTCATGCTCAATAATAATAATAATAATAATAATAATAATAATAATAATAATAATAATAATAATGACCAGGCCATTTGCACAAATTTAAACAGGGTGGCAAATGAACTGCTGTCTCTCGACGAGAAATTATTGAATTACTGATGTCAAGGCTGAGCTTGTTTGCTGATTTTCAACATCACTTGTTGAAAACACCAGGATCAGAATGAAACATCCACCACCTGGCCAAAGCAAACCAACTGGATATACAATGGAAACACAATATAAAACAGATCTACTCCATTAGAAAATAATCAGCTGGATAAATTACACAAGCAATCATGGTGTAAACATTAACATGAAAACAAAACATTTGTACATTTAAAAATTATTTACAGTTCAATATCTACAATTCAACAGTGATGGGCAATGACAGAAATAATAGAAACAGAAATAAAAAGCTAATAAAAAGAATTGACAATTTAATAACAATAATTCAGTTTGCCCCAGAGTTAAAGGGGTTACATGTCAAAGTTTAAGTTCGTTATTTTTTGTCTTTACAAAATGTAAAGACAATGATGATGTTACAAGCGGACTAAAGTAAAACCACAAAAGATAACAGGACTGAAGTGTAAGCAAAACCCGAAATAACACTTGAACAGCCACTACTGCAAAACATTGCTGGAGTAACACTGGTGCAGCAGAACAGAAGGTGACTTAGCATGAAGCATGTCAAGAGGAGGGAAATTATTGAAATGCCTTCTCAAAGCCCTTTACCTGGACCGTGTAAACAGAGATAGGAGGAGAGGAAGGGGAGCCAAATCCAGTAAGGGAGGTCACTGGAAACAATGAGATTAAGATGTTCCTTTTATGCATACTGTTGATACTGAAACACATCACACTTAAGATTGATGTCGTTCCACAATTTCTGCTTCATTCAGTTAATGTGGGCTGTGTTTTGTGCACCCTGGGACCAACAAACAAAACTGGAAATCTGCAGTTTTCACTTGACAACAGTGACACAATGAAACACTAACACACTGGAAACAGTTTCACAAGGATTCTCATGCAGTAATGGGTTAAGGTGAAAAGGATTGGTACTCCAGTGCCAAACCCAGCACATCTCATCAGGTATTTTATTTATTTAAGTTCAGTACAATGGAATCTTTTTGTTTATCTAAACCTCATAAAAGTAAAAATCCCCAAAAAGTTACATAAAACACAATACTCTTAATAGTCTCAGCAGGAACTGTAATATTGGTAATGTTGGTGATTCTTGTGGGGGACTAGAGTATCTCAATTCCAAAGAGGTTCAAATAGAACAAAAATAGTTCCTTTGTACTGAAAATACTTTCTACACAAATCTAACTTCTTCACTTCTCTGGATGTTCAGTACAACAACATCAATAATCAGAGCGCATTTGTATTTTAAAAGCAAATAACACACAAATGCATGTACTCACAAACATATGCACACATAAACAGTAAGTCTAGAAAAAAAGGTCCAGTAGTAAACATTAGAGGGCGCCATTTGCAAATTCATCCTTCCACTATGTCTCATCATTTACAGGAGATTATCTTCACTTTTAACCTCCTTTTCATCATTTAACACTCAAGACTACAATATTCACATTTTTAACCAGACCAGTATATTGGCAAAAAAGAGGGAAAAAATACCGTATGACATACACTACACTGAATCCCCCTCTCCTTGGCCAATATTTGGTACAATCCGTCACTTGCCACTGGGCTCATGTGTCCACTCTCACACACAAACACACTATAATTAACATTTTCACTGTCATGTATTGTCCCCTCCAAACTATGAAACAGATTTCATCAGACAAATTCCTGGATAGCCGATATCAGACAGCAGTTTCATGTCTTTGTGCCTTAGCAGCATATTTAGACAGCTGACAAATTCTGAAAAGGTAGATTGTTTTTAGGATAAGAAGAGGAAAGAGGACATGAGAATCAACAGAATTACATACACTAGCTTAAAAATGTTTTAAATTCAGTAGAAAGAGGAAAGAGGAGGGGAGGTATGGATGTGTCTCCTGCTGGCGAAACTGTTGGCGATCGAGGGCAAAAGGAAAGTGATGAGATGCAATGCACATTCCTCTTGACAGCTACGTAGGCAATGACACGTGGAGTGTTCATAGGTGGAAATTACATAAAAATTGTCTTCGGCGTGAACCGTTCAATGGATTACACACCTAAAAGCAGTCCCTGTTCTGCAGCAGAAGACTTGTGCTGCCACGTCTGGATTCACAGGCTGTCAGTGAAGATAACATTTTGACTTCATGAACACCTCGCTTCACACACTGACCTTTCAAAGGAGAAAGGGATGAAGAAGAGCTGCCTTCTGTTTCAGAGTTACTTGCGTTTTTGTTATTTTCTTACTGGAATCAAGCAAATTGTTTTTTCCTATAACTGCGCTCGATGTACAGATACTGTCGAGGGTTTATTCAAGGTAGTGCTACCTTGACTCCATGATGATGCATTTTTATTAGAAGTGGTGCAGCCCTCCTGTGGAAAAAATAATGTTTTGATTGTTTCCCCACTGCAGTTCCACTGGAAATGACTTCTTATGGCTTGAAGCAGCCCAAAAAATATTTAAATAAATGTTCAACAGTGATATTAAAATGTACTCCCCACCAGACAGGTTCCAGTGTGCTCCAGACCAGTAACAGAGGAGGTGATGATTCATGACGTCTGAGATTTGACCACATCCCGTTCTATCCTAAAGAAGAGGCTCTGCTCTTGTGTCTTGACATTCATAAAGAACAGAATAGGACCAAACTGGCCAAATAAATACAAGCTCTAGCAGGTCTGAGAGGACAAAAACAGTGTGAGACCACCTTTGGGACATACTGAGTTCCTGTTGGGTTAATAGGCAGTTGATCAGGTTGGCACGGTAAGGTTAAGTTTTCTATCCCTAACTGTGACAAAGAGGTTTGAAGTAGCCATGTGTGATTGTGTGTGTAGTTGGATGTGTGTGTGTGCATTTTGCTGTCTCAGATGCGAACCGGGGCTCCGCTGGGGGCCGTGAGGGGCACTTGAGAGCCGCAATCGTAGTCAAGTTCCCCCATCCGGGAGCGGCTCATCATTCGACTATGGGAATACGCTCGTCTGTCTGTTTGTCTGTCCCTGAAGCTCCTGATGTAGCTCTGCGGACAGAAAGATGATACAGGGTTGGGGGTAGTACGTGCATAATGTGATAGATATAACGTAATGACAGTAAACCGCACAAACAACAAGTCATGAAAGCTTGTACTCACATGTACGGCTATTATTATTTGCTTTTCTGCCAAGAGTTAGATAAGAAGATCAATAACATTGTCATAGCTATCTGTTAAGTATGAAACTGGAGCCAGTAGACTGTTAGATTGGCTTATACTGGAAAAAGAGGGGAACAGCTAGTCTGCCCAGAGGTAACACAATCCGCCTACCAACAATCCTAAAGCTCGCTAAGTAACATGTCATGTCTTGTTAGTTTTGTGTGCACAAAAAAGTGTAAAAAATTTAAATTTGTGGTTTTGCCAGGCTTTATTTGTGGGCCAAGTTATTGGCTGGGAGCAGTGACTGTTTAAAGTCTCCACTGGTTGCCGGGCAACCTGACTGAGGCAGCAAGTCTTCAGGAAGTCACTGCTGCTGGCCAAGAAATAGTCCCACACATAAACCCTGGTAAAATCCCCGTCTGTACCTTCGTAGAGGGCCAGGCTAGCTGTTTCCAATCTTCATGCTAAGCTAAGCTGCTGGCTCCAATTTTATATTGAACATACTGACATAAGAGAAGTATCAATATTCTCGTCTAATAAAAGAAATATGCTGATTTCCCAAAATGTAAAACTTAAAGTTGTAAAATGTAACAGAATAAAAATAGAATTTTGACTAAAGAAAAGAAAAAGAAAAACATTCTCTGCTGGCTGTATATACACCAAATATATGAGAGTGCTTCTTTATTATTACCTAAAGTATTTAAATATTTAAGCCAGTACTTTATCTTACCGGTGAAAGCACATCTCCATCAAAACGTCTTTTAGGGTTGGCCTTGCGGTGGTAGCCGGGTTCAGTCTGAGGAGGAGGGACTTTAGGTGGCTGAGAGCTCTGGGCTTGGTGATGAGGGTGGGATGCCGCTGGGTGATGGTACTGCTGGTGGTGGTGGTGATGGGTGTGAGCTTTCTGCTTGTGAGTGGTCTTCTGGGTTTGTCGTTTTTTCTTCTTCTTGTTCTCCTTCTCCTTTTTCAGCCTCTCTTCCCGCTGCCGGATCCGCATGAGCTGGACCCTCCGTTGCTGTCGACTCAAAACCACTGGGGACAAAGACACCAGAGATGTGTTAATGTGGGGAAAGAAGGAAACAGAGAGCGGGAGCAATAGATAATCATGAGAGAGTCGGAGGATTATGAAGACAGAACAATGCAGCTTTTATAGAGAAACAAATGTAACTGATTAAGTCAAGAGGAAAGGACACGTTCAAACTCTCTCAGACTGACAAGGAAAACAAGAGAAACGCTCAATCAGATGGGACTTTATTTGAATATATATTGAATATTTAAATTCTAAACTCTGATGGTAAACTATCTCTAGGGAGGTTATTGTACGTACAGGCTACAAAAAGAAAAAGGAAGAGAAAACCACTGATGTCCATTTTCTCATTTCCTACATTCTATTCAGTGAGTTGGCAGACAGATAATTTCCCTTGCAGCATGTATTCATACTGAGCTTCTCAGTCTCCTGACATATTGTGAGTGGGTGAGCGTGTTTGTGTTATTTCCACACCCTTCTCCGGCAAAGGATGCCCAAAATCCATCCTGTCTCACTGCCCATTGACTACTCATAGAATTATTTTTGGGTATGCCTGCTTGTGAAGCATTTTGATTCATTCAATTTAGAGTAGTGGAAGGGGATCTGTTTCATGTTCATTATTGTCAGGTCAAAATTTTGCCACAAGCACAAGGACCTCGCCGAACCTCGCGAAGATAAGATGTACTATTTGCGTCACAGTCACTGTGTGTTTGTGTGCGTGGGTATGGAAGTGTTATGAGGTCTATTGTTGTTTCTTTGTGCGGGTGGACAGCTAACGAGGCACCATCTGCCAGGGAAACTGCTTAATGATACCCCCCGTTTTTTTTTCCTCAGCTCACCCCACCTCAAGCCACTATGGTTGCATGTGTGTATTTGTGTTCTTCTACCTTTGTGAGGACCACTATTGGCTTTAGACCTTGGGAGTGAGGACTTTTTGGGCAGTCCCCACTTCATAACAAGGCAGTTACAGAGTTTAGGGTTGGGGTTAAGAATTTGACTGGGACTTGAGAATTAATTATGTGTGTGTGTGAGCATTGTCCACACATGAAGACAAAAAAAAAAAAAAACAGGAAAAACATGTGTGAGCTAATTCATTCATGGCCGTGTCCTGCAAGCTATTCAATCAGCTGACAGACAGATGACTTTCTTCACTGCTCCACTTGGGTGCCCCGCATACGCATTGTGCCCCAGTTTATTAACCCCCCGCCCTTCCCTTCCCCCAGTACACCTGCCCCCTCTTTTCTCCTCCTTTCTCTGTCAATACAGTGCCTGTCACTATAAAGGATGCTTTCAGCAATTAAAGACTAAAGGCAAACTCTGACAGCTGCAAATAAGGTTTTTAAATTACATTATGATAACATGCTGTACAGGTAAATTTAAAGGGGTTTCTATACAATAATGACCCTTGCTGACTTGGCTGTTATCACAAAGCAGCAGGAACTCAAATAACATTCATAGCTTCCTTACTAGAGCTGCTGCCCTAATTCATATTCCCAGTACACAGGCTGTATCTACAGCAACAAGCATGAAATGGACGCAACACACATGCAGTACATACAGAAATGCAATCGTATTTTTCAGAACTGTGAAGTGTTATTATTATCCCTATGTTTCTTTCTTTTTATCCCTCCTTCTGTGGGGGACCCTGAAACAATTCTCATTACTATTGTGTTTGTTCACTATGAGGAGGTGAATTGTGAACAGGTGTTGCAAGGGATGTTGTACAAATGTTCACATGTTTGTCTGAGATCTGTTATAAAATTGACTTGTCTGTGTGTGATTGTTTTCGATACACCAGTATTTCAACTTGTAGCCACATGATGAGGAATAAAGACTTTTTAGCAACTTTTTGTACTTTAACAAAGCAGTGTGTCACGAATTTCTTGAGAATCGATTCCCTCTCTTTTAGACAGTTTATAGCCAGCCTGTGCTTCCTTAATGTCTCTCTCTTTCTAGGTCTCTTTCCCCCCACACACAATTGCACAGTTTTCAAAATAGCACTAAAAAGCTCCCTCTATCTCTTTGCCCACACCCTCTGACTGGAAACCATGGCAGCTGGCTGTTTAATCCCATTATTTGACACCATGTGTGACTTCTTCTAAGACACTACTCTGCACGCCTAAGCCAGCAAAGATCAAATGTAAGAGTTTATGTGTGTGCACCAATGAATGAGATGTGTGTGTTTAAATTTTCCTGTAGTTAGTGTATGAGTGAGTGAGAGACTATACCCCAGTATATTTCTGTCTCTGTTGGTCTGTGTGTGTCTATGTGTGTGTGTGTGTGTGTGTGTGTGTGTGTGTGTGTGTGTGTGTGTGTGTGTGTGTGTGTGTGATCTTGCCATCTGTGTTGTGGTTGCTTTCAGAAAGGCTGTTTCCGTCAATAACACATTCTGCTGACAACACTAATGTTAGTGTACTCATACTGTCCCTCCAACCACACATTCACTGTTCCTTCATAATGGTAACAATTCCTAAAGCCTATTTAATAAAATTAGGATAGATTAGTCAGCCTTGATAGAATGGCACCAGCTTTTAGTGGCCTTTGTGAGATCAATATTGAAATAAGCCTCATCATCATTCTGTGTATCTGAGTTTAAACTTTAAATTAAATTAGAAAAACAAAACCAAAAGATGCATATTCATTTCCCCAAACGTCATTAAACATCCCATGCACAAACTTCAACACACACACAGTTCCTACAGCACGAGCATAATAGCAGCACTCCTCCTGTGTTTCTATAGCTTTGTGTAGTCGTGGGGGATATTGGTGGGAAATACTGTAATATGAATTCAAAGCTGCGCTGTACAACATGTGTATAAGTTCATCCTTCTCATTGAACTAAACCACCATTTGAGGCTGCAAAACAGACCTTTTACAAGAGGTCTTCACCAGCCTTGCCTGAAGCTTGTCGCTGTGGCCTACATTACACACACCGCCTCTCTTGAATCAGCCGTTTCTGACCATATCCATCGTGTGTTCACAAGTTCCAGGTCGGAGCAGAAGCTTTGTCTGACTGTAGCTTTATTTCAGCAGTAAACTAAATTTTGATAAATGGAATTTATTCTTTATTCATAAGATTTGGGTTTGTGCATTTTCGTGAATTTGTTAGTGTTGTTATTAAAATCCTCCAACAAAGGAAAAAGACCAAAGGATATGTTCTCTGTCCTTTAGCCTCAAACATTCTCCCACCAGCATGGACCCTGAATTTATATGGAATTTTCCAAAACCCGCCATTCCCATTGTCTAGCAAATGTCCCTGGTGTGTTCTCACCTTCCCATATCACATGACCTCCACACCCACCTGCAAACCTCCCAATTCCCTCATCAGCTCCTCAGTAGACCTAGCCATTGTTCCCTACTAGATTGCGTCTATATTTGTGCCTGTATCCTGTCTCTGCCAGTTTCTGTAAATCTGCCCATGATCTGCTACCTGCGTATTTGTTTGCTCATTTGGACTGACTTCAAATTAGTGAGTAAGCCTGTTTTTTTTTTTACAGGAAGTTTGTTTATTCAACCTGCTCTGCCTCCAAGCATCTGCAGTCCTTTTGCCAACTACATATTTTTACACAATATCCAAGTGATCTAAGTATCAGTAAAATTTTAAAATAGAAAAAACCCTAAAAAAAGTTTATTTTCTGTACCTGTATTACACACAATTTCTTAGTAATAAAGTTCTTTGCATCAAATCTAGTATCTCTTGCTGCAAAATCCACAATTATGGCAAAACATTGAATGATTTTTGTGTACCAAGTTAGTGTGTGTAAAGTTGCATCACTCACCCTCTGTGTGAGAAAATCCCTCTGCAGTGACTTTCCATTGGATCAGCACTCCGAGGAGGGCCAGGACTGGCCACACCCCCAAGATGACCCAAGTAAACCAGCACACTGGCTTCTTTGGTGCCACCTGCAGAGATTACATAATTTCAATTGAATCATTTCATTTTGATAAAGTGCTTTCGTCCACAAAACCATTAATTTATGCAAGGATAACTAATCTAAATCATGACACTTTTGCCAGTTTTTTAAAAACCTCTTTCCTGGAGTTATTCTTGCACAAACAAGCACAGCACATAATGAAATACTAATAAGAATGTTAAAAATATAATACTTTGGTTGTAAAGTGAGAATAGTGAGGATGAAACCATTTTAAATGGGTCATAAACCACAGTTGCTCCAGCAGGGCTTCCCAATGTGTACATGCTGAAATCTGGTTTAGTCAAACAAAACTTGGCAAACAATTTGATAATGGTTGATAATTATATTAACTTCGGGGCCTAGTGACAAATTGAAAAATAAATTACTGAATAATTGTGTGATGAGTATGAAAATGATGCAGATCATGTGCTATGGCCACTGAGATTGGCGTGCACTCTCCACCAGCATTATCAAAACATCAAATGAGGGAATACATTTTGGAAGAGCGATGTTCAACCTGTCAGTGAAATCACAAGCTGAAGTTATTGATTAAAGTCATAAAAATGTAGTTAATGTACTTTTATTTGCAGCCCAAATTCAGGCAATATGATGACACCAGTGATATTTGCCAATACTACAAAGGTAGCTAACCTTTCAATATCTCTGGTTCTATTAAGCATTTAAAGGCAATTTTGTAGTGTGCAGGACTGTTTTATGGAAATACTGGATTTATGGGATGTTTGCATTGGTATGATGATGAACCTTATCTTGTCAGCTATTTCATTTATTGAATTTGCTCATAAACCGATATTGCCATCTGGAATTTCATCTACAAATACATTTACATTTTAGTTTACAGGTTACATATACTCTAATGGAAGATTTTATCTGTACTGTCCACCCTCAACTGTGTCTGTTCTTCCCTCATCCACACACATATCCAATGCACACCTCCCTGTTCTCGGATAAACACCCAAATCAACTATTGGCCCACTCTTTAACCTGCAGGCACACCCCAAGCTTCTGGCAATGTTTTGTAGACAGCGCAGCAAGGTGAAGTGTCTAAAATTGTGGTGTTAAGTGCTCTATCAAGTGGCTAAAGTCAGTCTGTCCGACTGTGTGTCTCTTTCTCAAGCAAACACACACAGGAAACAGCCCAATAAAGTAATCCAGTGTCATGATGCACACACCTTCAAATAAATGTATAGCATTAGGATAATAACAAACACACAGACGGGCCTACCCTGAGTCTCTCATAGACGTAGTGCACCAAGGCGAACAGCTCTATAAAGTAATCCACGGTGACGGTGATGATGGCAGAGCCGAATGTGGCGGTGGACAAGGTGACAAAGCAGCGTTGCCATTGAAGAGTGAGGACGGCAAATAACGTCCCAGAGCCCAGGAGAATACCCAGAGGAACCCACACTGTTTTGGGGTGGTAGAACTCTTCCATAACCTTCGAGAAAGAGAGAGGAGAGGGTTAATTTTGGACAGTTGGTATTTTTTATGGTAGTTTTGTTGTTGTTGTTGTTGTTGTTGTTGTTGTTGTTACACTCAGCAAAATTAGTGCCTGGTCTCATTGACATTTATGACAGCAAAAATTTATATAAGTCCTGCCTTGTTGTGCGGTCAGGTATGTTATTACTTTAAAGTGCTACTGTGCTGATTTTTAGTTGGTAACTATTTTTCTAGCTAAATAGAAAATTTTAAATTTTAAAAAATATTTTTTGTCTTCATTGGATAGGACAGCTGCAGAGAGACAGGAAGTGGGGAGAGAGAGGGGATGACACGCAGCAAAGGGCCACAACTCGGATTCAAGCCCATGGCTGCTGCAGTAATGACTCAGCCTTGGTACATGGGGAGCTAGCTAGCTTTTGGTACTGCTTATGCACTAATCTGGCAGCAGATTTATATGCAGTCTTCTTTCAAGACTCTGCCATTGGTGTCATGGGATAGTCTTTTTAACGGCATTTCAATGGGGCTTCTGCAGGATCTCCTGGACATTTTCCTGTGTAAAAGCTGTGCAAAAGTGGTTACATTGTAAAATCCTGAAAGTTAATTACAGTGTTATTGCTCAGATTTATAAGTGAAATGATGCCTCAGTGACAATGTCTTGTTGACATCCATCTACAGCCCACACTAGTCTACCACAATCACACATGCCACTTTCTGGTGTGACTGGCCACAAGAAGGCTTTCCTGATAATACAATGCTTTTGAGAATTTGAGGTTCTGTATGCAAATAAACATAAATCTAAATAGAGCAAACCAAATGCATCTCCTTACCACCAGTGAAGCCACTCCAACCAGCAGGCCGAGCAGCAGGCCCACCATAAACAGTCCCACACTGCGAACCAACATGGTCACCAGGCCACACAGGGTCCCGATGCCCAGGCCGATGCCCACTGATGCCTCTACGCTCAGCTGCGTGTCCATCACCCTCTCCTTGTAGCACAGCATGAAGATGACCACAGAGCCAAACATTAGGCCTGTGAGGAACAATACGGCCTTGAAGCATCGATAGCCTGGAGGAGAGATGGGAGACAGACCACTGTGAGGCTATTACAAGCATAAAAACATGTGTACGAGATACAAGCCTACGGCTGCCAGGAACCCCTGTGAAATCCAAATATAATTCATTACACGGACAACACAGAACGACAAACAACAAGACAGTGAGTGCATACAAGACATTTGTTAAAGAGAGGAGTGGCACACACACAGACATTCAACCCCAGAGGGACTTTCTGTTTTGACTTTTGGCAATAAATAATGCACATACACACGCTCACAAACAAACAGGTATATAACTTGGCTTCTAGTCATTTTTACTTATATAGCTGTTACTGTTGCTATTGTTGTGGCTGTGCATCTTTGTCTCTGTCTTCCTCTCTTTACCCCAACCCTCATCCCTTCCCCCCTCCACTCCCCTTTCTCCCTCTCTCTCTCTAACACCAACCGGTAGAGACAGACGGCTGCCCACCAGAGCTGCGGTCTGCTAGAGGTCTATACAGAGATGATAACATATTATGGGGAGGAATGCTTAATGAACAGCAGACAATGAACAACCACCTTCCTGTGGTCGGTAAGGGAGCAGTATGTCCACACAGAGACAGACATTTCCTCATTGGAAGATGATGGCGAGAGTGGATAAACTGTCTTCATAAACATTTATGAAACTGCTTTAAAATATGATAATTATCGTTTTACAAAAGGTCATCCACATTCATTAGTCAACAGGCCTGCTGAATACAACAACTCTTATCTCCTTCTTTTTTTTCTTTGCCCTGGTCCCTCCTGTCCTTGGTTTTCTCTCTTTCCCTCCCTCACCAGTTTATTTCCATTTTAATGTGCTTTATTGCAACAAAAACAAGAAATAACAAAGATACCACAGCATTAAAATATCAAATTATCAAGAATTACAATCTCCTTGGCCGTGGCTTCTGTGTTTATTAATGTTTGCGTCTCCCTCCCTTTTTGCTCTACATCTCCTTTCTCTGTCTGACTGGACTCTGTCTCGAGGGGAACCAACATCAGATTGTTATCTTTGTGTAATCGGGCATTGCACAGCTGAGCCGAACAATACTCTTCCTCTCCTCCACGCTCCTCCCTTGTTACTATACCTCATTTATGTGAATTTTCTTCAATATCTTTCAGCCACCAGGCACTTCATAAGATGTGCGTGAAAGCCACTGTATTTTTCACTGCTTCTTCCTGCCTGAATGAAGTCTGACATGGAGTAACTGGAGCATTTCCAAAGCTTCTACAGCCACCGGAACATTTGTTTGGTCAGCAGCTGTCACAAATTCCCAACATTTTTCTTCCGTATCAGTCTCCATCAATCAATACATACATTCTGAAATATCATGCCTCTCCTTGACTGCTCTAATCTTCTAGTCTACTTTCCTTGTCCCCTTTTCTCTAAACCTATCCTTTCCTCAGTCCCTTATCCCCCACCCCCCCAATTATTCACTCTTTGCTTACCCCTCCTACTCCCTCTTTTGTTCCTCATTGCTTCCCTTACTTTTCCTCCAGCCATCAAACCCTCCGTCCCATCTGTTCACTCTGGCTTATTCAGCTCTCATCTCCCTTACTTCCACTCTCTTTTCCTTTGCCTCATCCATCTCGTTCCTATAACATCACTCATCATCTCTGCTGCAACTTCGTTGTTTTTCTGGGTCAAATAAATGACAGCTAACCTTTTCTTCTCAAGTCCTTGGGACTAAACCACATTGGCATCTATCAGCGGGGAGAATCAATTTTCTCACAGAAATGTTTTTTTTCCTCAAATTATGCAATAGTGACTGTACGGTTTTCTGAGAAACATCAACAGTAGGCTATGCGTTATGTCTCATTTGCAGAACAGTGATTTTGTTCAGTTATAGAGAAAGATTGGGCATTGATCTATCTTCTCTTTTTCTTAGAGTATACTGTCAAATAAACAGAGAGACAAATAGATAACAGACGGTGAAGGATGAGAAGCTTTTGAAGTAAAAGTATGTCCTTGGGTCTTTGCTGTTAAGTTTTTGGAAGCATGTATGAAACAATATTTTTAATCATTTTATGTTGAAATTGAAATTTTTGGCAAATACAGACGTTCAGAGCTGATGCTAACTGAGCAGATACAGAAAACATTAAAGGACGTGTGCAAGATTTAGGGTGGGGCTTCTTATTTCTTAATTTTTTTATCGAATTACCAGGGACATTGCACATTAATCAACATTGCAGTTTACACTTCAATGTAAATGTGCCGGAGTTAGCTAATAAACTGGTAGCTGCCCTTGTTGACCTCCCGCTGCTATCCTTACTGCTTTATGAACTGGCTCAGTGGGGGAGGGGCAAGTCCATGAAAGACCCTATAGATTAGGCATACATATGCAAAATGTTTAGAACTATAAATAAACTAAATAAGTTGGACTTTTGTGTTATATGACAATGGTGATAACAATTGACTCTTTCTTGACTCCGCCATGTGGAACTACCATGTTATATGGTAGTGCAGAACATACAAATCTAACACTGACTCTAGAGAGGGGAAGGGGTATTTAGTTGGTTGCACACTCATGGCTAGATGCCATTAAATCCTACACACTGGTCCTTTAACATGCAAGTGTGCTAACTTGTAGCTGTCTAAATGCAATGATTGTAATGTGCATGCTACCAGTATAGTCAAAGTACAGCGGAAGCTGATAAGGTGCATTTAAAGTGGAATACAAGGTGGTCTTTTGTCTGGCACTGCCCTAAGGGCAAACTTGACATTTTCTGCCATACTTGTGGTGAGGATGCTCTCTACATTTGTTATCCACCCAACGATCTTGTTTCAGGGCTACTGCTACTATGGTATTGTTCATGTGCTGCCAACTTTGTAAAATAAAGTTGCTGGGTAACCTGATTGTAATGCAGGGACTGATGCTGCTGATGCTTTACCAGGACATATAGAGTGAATGTTAATGCTGTCTGTATGCTTGAGTGAGTCTATTTGTATGCACCACATCTGCTCAGAGCTTCAACATGCATCAATATTCATCCAAAAACAGCACGGTTGCTTTCTCAAAATTGTTATTTTATACATTTTCTACACAATACAATTCTGTTTTTATTACATGAAACATTACCTTGTAAATTTTCCTGGATGTTTTTGTCCGGCTGTATTTTCTTGTTTGTGTTACTGGCAGAATAGATATTAACTATGTTATCTCAGTAGTGAAGGATGTGATTTCATGGGATATATTTTAGTTTACCTGACAGATCATATACATGAGCAGTGGCTAAGTAATCTAACAAATTATGTATGATCACAACACAATACATACAATTTTAAAATTCAGTACTTTGTTTTCATAACAGTGGACAGTGTATGTTGAATTGAGATGCACATATCTCTACTTGTTTGTGTGATAAATTATGACTCGCATGGCTCTAATGTGTAAAGTATGTTATTTTCTTGTTTGAAAATCAAAATGTCAAAAAAGGATTCATAAATTAACTCAATAGTATTTGTAACACGTCCCAGTGGTCAAAAGGTTACTGATGCATACCATATCACTGGAAAAAGGTTCAAGTCTCTCTTTACTGCCTACTGTCTAGTAAAGGCAAAAATAAATTTAAAAAAATGCCTCTGATCTTGTGTGCCCAGATTTCTACAATCAAACAATTACGTAGAAAAAAACAATTAATTCACACGGCTACAGCAAAGTTAAAATCTCTGCCACTTGCTACTAGAAAAGGTCTGCAAGTAAATAATTACACAATTACACTGTAAGCCAACCCAAGGCAATACACTGACATTAATTGTACCTTTTACAAAAACACATGAGACAATTTTATGCAGTTTTGCCAGTCACTGTTCAAGCAGAAATACAATTTTCATACGATAATTTTTTGTAACAAAAACAACTCTAATGTAAAAAGCCTGTAGCCATTACAGCAGATCTCTCTCCCTCTAATTATTTATTGATTACACATTCCTGCAATGACCTTACATCCAAACTCATTAGGATGAGCCCTTAATACTTATGATGCAATCAAATGTAGTCACTCACTCGGTACAAAATTAAGCTTCGAGTAAGGACTTTGTGTCTTAACATTTGAATGAACCCATGCATACAGTATGAGTTTGGGCTTTTGATAGCACAGAGGAAGAAAAAGACAGCAGGGGGTCCACTGCAAGTTAGGCCTGGTATTTATGCTGCAACATTTAGTTGAAAGAAACAGGAACGTGCTGCTGAATAAGCAGCAGAAGATAACGTGTTGTTTTCTTTTAAAGACAGCAGGCAGCCCTGTCTTTTCAGTATCAGCCCAATGATGAGGTAGGGGTGATTGAGAGTCAAGGATTTGAGAAAGCATTATGAGCAAGAGCAGACCTTTAGAGTTTAACATGGTCGTGCAAATTACTCTCTGAAGTAAATACTGAATGATAGTAGCTTAGTCTGTAGGACTGAGGTTTCACTATTGATTCACATAGCCAGTAACAAGACAGCCACTCTGTACTGCTCTTAAATCAATATTATTATACACCAGAAGAGCAGGATGAATTAGAAATAACAGAAAAATGATCAACAGTAGAGATTTCAGGGATACTTGTTCTAGCACTTTCCAGTTTCCAGTCACTTACACATATAAAATATATATCAGCTACATGCCACTCGTCAGTGTTTCCATCATGTTTGTCATTAATGCAACTGGCAGACGCCCATAGTTTTTCTTTAAAAAACTAATACATAGGGTCTGTCATTTTTACACTTGTATGACAAACAAGATATAACGTGTTAACCAGTGAGCTGTACACATGCTGGTTGAGCCGATTTTGTTTCTTTTGTGTAAAGCCAGGGTATCTGTTTCCCCCGTATCTCCAGTCCTCCAGTGCTAAGCTAAGCTAACTGGATGCTGGTGGTAGTTTTATATCTAAAGTACAGACATGAGAATGATATTAATCTTTTCATAATGTAGGATGTTGGTCTTGGGGGTTGTGACATCGTCCGGCATTGTGTATGTGTGTTTGTGCAAATTATTACATGGAAGCTATGTGTTGTTGAGATGTTGACATTTTCCTTTGACTTTGCAGTATGTATATTTTAGTTTTTTGTGGAACTGCAGGATGGAGATCAAAACAGATTTCCCTACAGGGATATTTCAGTTATGTCCTATCCTATCCTGTCTAACTCTAGAGAAAAGAAGAGAGAAAAGAGAATTTCCCAAAATGTTAAACTAGTCCTAAATGATACATATATAGATATATATATCTGTATAGGACTACTATGAAAAGATCAGCAGGCAATGACAGGCACAAGTGGCAAGATGTATTTTTAACATGTGACTTAGGAACCTGATTGTGAAATTACGCTAGAACATGGTAAAAACTATTTCAGGATTTTTATATGTAACAGCTCAGACCTCATGAGCAAGCTTTGACTACATCACCACTTACCAAAGAAGCAGTAGATAATTCCAAAGAGGCAGCACATGGAGCAGACCACCGAGGGCACAATCTCATATCTCCTCTCAATCTCCTGGTCACACCTCAGCCCCGCCTCAGCCAAACCCAGCAGTTGGCTGGTGGAAGTCATGGTGACTGAAGTGAAGGGCAGCGACGTTTAGGAAGGCGGGGGTGAGGGGTGGAAGGGATGACTGAATCAGTGGGCCTCAGCCATTGAAACGTCTCTACCTGCAAACAGGAGGCATGGAAAGAAAGAGTTGTGGAGAGAGAGAGGGAGAGGGAGTGAGAATGAATGAGAGAGAGAAGACAGAGGAGACAGTGATTATTGATTGCTCATTTTAAGTACACAGCTGTGAGTGCTGACAGAGCAGTAAACATGCATTATAATGTTGAAAAAAGAAACATCTCAGCACAGCACAGCCACTCTATAAGAACTACTGCTGCAGATGAAATGACTGCGTAATAAAAAAAAATGCAATTCAGCCACTATCATTCACTTATATATACAGTAAAGAGGAAGCAACAAATTGTTGTCAACAGTTTGAAAGTATTTGACCAATTGCAGAGGATCTGCAGCACACACATAATGGTTGCCATGGAAAGATCAACGGAATGCATTTGCATAAATTTGCATGTTGTGAGAAATTGTAGCACAAGTACAAGACTGTTTGTGAGGTATGTATTTGAGCAAAGAAGCTAAAGTTTTTCAGAGGGATAAAAAAAAAAAAAACATTAAACATTTGCATCTCTACTTAGTCCTAATCTGCCATTGCTCGAATTACTCATTTGAAATAATACTTCAGCAAATACTCACTAAAGCTAAAAGACCCCTATGTCATAACATGATAGAGTATTAACCATGTATAGTGTTTCACTATTGTTACAAAACTAATCAGGAATGGAAATACTAGCGTGTTGATTGTACATGCTTTAAATGCTGAATACAATGTATTTTCTGGGGCATTTAGTGCAACATATGCCAGATTTATGATGAACAAGGCAAAATAATCAGGTAAATTGCCATGTAATGAAGCAAAAACAAATAATACGGGAGAAAGGTAGAAAGGCTTTTTGTTGGATTTAAGAGGATGCTTCAATATAGCAATTACAATGTTAAGGAGATACTACTGCTTAAGTGTAAAACCAAGGTAAAAACACGAGCAACTGAAAAGCCTTCTTTCGGCTTTTAGTATTACAGGAAGTGAGGAACAAAAACTCTTGAGACATACAGTAGATCTATGAGCACAATATGCAGGCCAAATCTTGCACAAGATGAACAAAAGAATACCTTTCTTCATTTCTAATGAGACACGAGGGGCTGTACCAGAAACATACACACACAAAAAAAACATAATCTGGACTGCACTGTTAATATTACATGAAAACAAATGATACATTGTATTTATTAACCTAATAACACACAACATTAACATACAATATTAAGGTAAAAGCTTGCTTATATTGCACCAGTAATTCAGTGTGTTTATTGTATTTAATTAGACTCCACTGGTTACATTTAATTAGACTTTAATATTTAATTGTTGCCAAAGGGCAAATGGAGCTTTCACTATTACACTGTTTGTCAGTTATGAGCAATTACTGGTTTCACAATTCATTTTTTGTACCTAGCGTGCATATATTAGAACTTTTCATCTAATAAGATGTTTTGTAGAGATGTACTGTTACATAATGGAGCCCAGTATTGACAACTGTTTTTCCTAATTGATCTTAATTGACTGACAAGCTACAAGGAGATCAATTATGAGTTTCGTGTCCGCTGCAGATGCTGCTTGGAGATTCCAATTCTTTCCTTTTTTCTTAGAGGATGAAAATGTGCCTGGGGCTTCCGCTTGATCCTTTTTTGGTAGCATCAGTCCCATCAGCTAATAAAAGTGATCAAAGTTGTCTGTGTTTCACAAATTTTGCGTGACGATAGCTGTGGGCAAATTCTGTCAACCCTAACATAATAGCACAATACATAGACTTTACAGTTTTAGTAATAAAAAACAGGATTACAATTCTTAGTAAGTAAATTGTACATGAAAAAAAAATGTTGCAGTGTAATGTGTAATGTGTCTGATTCAAGGATCATAGACTCACCCACACACAGCTCCACAGTCAGGCACAAAATCCCAGTGGTTTAATTTCTAGTTGAGCCACACAAATTAAGACCTACTAAGCATATAAATTCAGTGAATACCTTTAAATGGAAGCATCCTCTAAGTGACATACTGTACGTGGTAGTATTTTACTCTGCATCACCATTATTTCACGGAACAACTACATCTTTTCATCACAGTTGCTCTCTGTCTTCATCATGGCATCACTTGCGAAGGTGAAGTCATACACTTAAAGGTAAGAGTGTACACACACATTTCCTTAAGCTATTTCCAGTTTTCACACAAATCTTTCCCTTTACACTATAACCATTAGCCGTGTGTGACTCTGCATGTAATTTGTAGGGACTTGTTCTCATCTTCTTTACTCCTTTCTGCAGCTACACTGTCTGCTTGGTAAAGCCCGAGACTCCGGATGGAACATAAAATCTTGAAAGTGAGAGTTTATTGATGTAAAAGAATGCATTTCCTCTCCACTGCTGCATCTCTAGCTTTAAGGAACTGATATTGGAGACTCATACAATTACAATACAGTGCATATAAGTATAACAGCTTCTTCTACTGTAGTTGGATACACTCAAAACCTACTTCTCTTTGACAGCCTCAGTGGGTTACATGTTGTGGCTTAAATCTTATGTTCTGTTACTCAGGATCTATTGCCTTCTTCTGGCTTTCTCCTTCAGGTCACTGCACTTGTCATGTTAGAGTACAGATAACAAACTCATGTAATATCGGTTGCCCAGTCTCTGTTTCCCATGTCCACAAATGTACAGTAACACTACTACTACTACTACACTATAACAATATATTGTACACACATGCTGTGCAGGGAAGGTAAGCCCTTGCTACTCAAAATTGACTTAGTGTGTGCTGATGCACTGTGGCACACAAAATCACACAAAAGCAGCTGTGGTGTTTTTCTTTTAGCAATGCAATACCTCTGGAGTCCTGTACAGTCAAACTCAAAATTGATTACTTTTTCAGCATTACATGTTGTTTTGCTTTAGAGAAAACAAAACCACACAGGAGTGGGATTACAAAAGAAATAATGTAATATTGTCAAATTCAAGACAAGCTTTTGAAATGAAATAAATAAGGCATTTTTGCTAAAACTTACAGGTTTTACAGTTGTCAAGTTTAGATAAAGAGCAGTAAAATTAGAATGCAGTGATCATCGTATTGTGGCTAGCTGGAGTAGAAGGAACTCAGTTGCAAGCAGATTTCAATTTTACCTGTAGCTTTATTGGTCGCAAGAAGCACGCCATTGTCACCGACAATGAAAAAAAACACATCTTTGCACTCGCACTGCGGGAAAACGTCAACAACTGTACACACAACATCAGTCAAGATGTACCAGCAATAACCGACTGTATAACAATAAAGGTGGAACGAGATGAGCCAAGTGAAATTAAAAAGTCTCTAGTATACTGAGATCTAATGGCAGAATTAACAACTGTAATTCAGCAAGCTATAATATGAATGGGTGGCAGTAGCAAATCAGCACAGTGTCTCAGTTCATTTGCTCAAGGTTTCCAGGTGTCTTTTAGACATCTAAATGTCAGCTGCTTGTTTAATTGCTTTTTAAGCCCAAGCCACAGCACCACTCATCAGATCTGTTTCTATGTCAGCAACACCCACCTGAGAATGTGCCTCTGGGCCTCCCTGTCAGTACTTATATGGAATTCAAAGCATTAACATAGATTAAGATGAACTGTAAGCTAGTATTAAACACATTAATGATACGGTGTAAACAATTATGCCTGTGGGAGAAGTTGGGAGTGCATGACTCAAGAGCTAAACTGAAGCTGATTAGCATTAATACAGAGTGTTTGAATGCAGCAGTCTTCAGTGGCAACCATGTTAGCTACATAGTTTGTACTACATGGCTATGTCAAGTAGAATAATAACTGTGAGAGTAATATGTGATACTATACCGAAGTTAAATCCTCAGACTGAAGTACAGAGTTGCACTCCTAGTGCAGGAAATGTCAACAGATTTGGTACTTATTGACAGGAGAAAGTCACTGAGCAATCACTTCGCATCGCATCCTGCTGCCCTGCAGACTTGTGATTCCATGGCAACCTATTTCATTATAAGTTGCTCCAGATAAGGTAATATGGTAAAACTTAAATTGCTAAAAACTTAATGGCTGAGGTGAGTCATGTTGAGGGAAAGTGTCTGCAAACAACTTTATAACACACCGATCAGCCATAACATTATGACCATTGACAGGTGAAGTGAATGACACTGATTATCTGGTTATCATGGCACCTGTCAGTGGGTGGGATATATAAGGCAGCAAGTGAACATTTCGTCCTCAAGTTGATGTGTTAGAAGCAGTAAAAATGGGCAGCATGAGGATTTGAGATACTTTGACAAGGGCCAGTGATGTCTAGACGACTGGGTTAGAGCATCTCCAAAACTGCAGCTCTTGTGGGGTGTTTTTCGGTCTGCAGTAGTCAGTACCTATCAAAAGTGGTCCAAGGAAGGAAAAGCGGTGAACCAAAGACAGGGTCATGGACGGCCAAGGCAAACTGATGCACATGGGGAACAAAGGCTGGCATTATAACCAACAGGGTGCCAAGGTGGTCATAATGTTACGGCTGATCGGTGTATATTAGAAACTAGAGAGTGCACTGCCAAAAATGTGTTAATTAAAGGACCAGAGTGTAGAATTTACTGGCATCTAGTGGTGAAATTGCAGATTGCAACCAACTAAACACCGCTAGTGTCTGTATTTGACGACCTGGGAATGAGAACAGACCTTGAAGTGTGTCTAAGGTGGCCACGAACCTGTCCATTTTGGGCAATTGTAGAAACATGGCGGGCTCAATGGAAGGTGACCTGCTTTGTCTGAAGATAAAAACGTCTCATTCTAAGGTAACAAAAACAACGATTCCTGTTTTGGGGGGATTATACACAGATGAAAACATACCTATGAATATTATATTGTATTTCTGCCCAGAGATCCTCCTAAATGTAAACTTGTTAAAAATGTTTAGAAATGCTCAATCTGCATCTCGATCAATATAAAAAACATAAAGTAATAGACAGTCAAGGGATACATGTGCCAATTTTTTCCCCTCTGTCATCAATCTTGTCCATCCTGG